AAAAAAAAAAAAATAAAATGATGAAAAAAAAAGTGTTAAAAAATGAAAAATATTAAAACTCTTCCAAATTAATTATTTGCCAAAATTTTATCTTATTTTTCGATGAATTGATAAAACCGTCCAATTTCTTAGAAAGTCAATACGAATACATATTAATTAGTTCAAATATAACATATCCTATATTTCTAAATATTATTCTCCCTGTGGTCTGCAATAAATTCAAGAAAATCGCATTACGGATACGCAATTACGGACGAATGATCATGAAACTTTAACCAGTTCGTAAAATATATGCAACAACGCTTGACTTGGACGTAGTCTGTTACATAAATAATGACTACGTGTGATACTGCGCGAGTCGTTGCTGTTGTTATAACCTGCTCACGATATTGCCTCGTTTTACTTGAAAGCAAGCCTGACAATTATCTTAATAGCTGACTGGGTTGAGCGATTTCCAGGTAGCGAAGGCGATGTTTCCGACGATTTTCATCGAGTAAACAGCGGAAAGAATAACCGCGTCAGCATACCTCCAGGCATGCTATATTTTCTGCGCTAGTTTATTCTTGATTTTTTCTCTTTTTTTTCTCCATTGCTATTTTATGTTAGTCACTCCAGATAGCGCGCATATGAACTCTTGGTAGCTTATCGACCAAGATTCAAAAATTACGGAAACTTGTTGCTAGAAGCTATACGATTGATCACAAGAAACTAGTGATTAATTTTCGAATTATCTTAGTCTTGGCTAATCCTCATAGAATCGTTTTGAAAGAAAAAAAAGAAAATCGATGTAACCTGTAATCTTGTGCGATATCTGTCTACATAACTGAGAAAAGATGCAATCGATGCAATTTAATAGTAATCAGGCAAATTATGAAAATGATAGTGCCTTAGGTTAGCTTATTCCTATACTACGATTAGTTATGTAATTGGAGTTGATAAAGTTATATACTATTTATATACATTCAACTTACTATTAAAAATCTTACTATTAAAACTTATAATAATCAAATTTAGTATTTTTAAATTGAAATGTTTGAGAAAAAAATGTTTGAGATAATTTTGATTGGGTTTAAAAATTTTTTTAATAAACACAATTTTTTTAATATCATAATTATATAAAAATATAGTATAGTAAAAAAATATAGTAAAGAAATTTATAAAACATTAAAATTTTTTTAGTGTATAAATAGATGTAATGAAATCTCTAAAACAATAAAAATTAAGATATTATGTGAATAAATTTATATACTTACGAAAAAAAATTAAATAAATATCAAAAAATAAAAATTTCGATGTTATATAATTGCAATTTTATATATTTTGTTTAGTTATATAGTAATAAAAAAAAATAATAAAAAAAATAGAATAATATATAATATACAATGAATAGATTGAATATGAAATAATTAATTATTGAAACAAAAATAAAAAATATAATTAATTCAGTATTCATTATTATTAAGGAAAATATAAGTAATTATTTTGTTATTCCATAAATATTTAAAATCATATTATTATTATATTATAATTCATTATGATAATGAATTATAAGTTTTAATGTAATTTCGAATTAAAATACAATATAATAAAATTGTTCAAATAATATATCAAAAAGTATCAAAAAAATAAAAATATAATTATATTAATATTTTGATACTTTTCGTGATTCATACTTTGACTAATTCAATAACATACTTTCAATTAATATTATGCCGTTTATCATGATATTTGTTTTTTATTTAGAAAGGAAATGAAGTATGTGTCAACGTGATAATTGTTATACAATAAACATATATATACTTTGAATTACAATACCAGCATACGAGTGACAAATTTAGTTACTATTACACGGATTGTCATCGTAATATGATGATGTCTCGTTTGTGTCAAGGACGATATATCGTCACAACGAGCATCATAAATCTCCTTTCTCCTTATACACGTATGATGATACACTTGAATAGATAAATTTATCAAGTTTTTTAGAAAGACATTAATTTGACTAATTTATTTAATTCAATATAACAAATTCAATATAAAATTTATTTAATGTAATAATAATTATATATTGCTATAAAATAAAATTAAAAATAACAATCTTAATAATAATAATAAATTAATTTTATTGTTTTCTAATAAAATATTTCAAATAATTTATTAATCTTATTTTAATAATTTGGAAATTAAGTTTATATATGCTATATTTTCAAATAATTTTTTTTGATTAATATTTTTAAACAAAATAATGTAGATTATATAGATTTTCATAATTTCAGAATTTAATGGAATTTTATATAAAAATAATAACTTATTTATGAAATTCATGATCCTCAAAAACATTTAAATATTTTATCATTAAATATTTTATCATATATTTAATCATATATTTATCATTTTATCATTTTCATTATATATAACAAAACTTAAAACTTTATTTAAAATAAAACTTCATAATATTAATAATAATAATTATTATTATTATAGTTATTAAATTATTAACATAATTTTATCGTAATTAAATCTAATATTATGATTTTGAATCTTTGTATTATATCATATTGTTAAATAGATTTATTTTAATCATTAATTTTTACTTGTCGAGATCTAATCGAATTCAAGATCTCTAATCTAATCTAATTCAAGCTCAAATATAAACGCAATGCTTAATTTTATTACTTAATTGAGTATATAGTAGATAGAATCTCTTCTAGATTTACATTCAGATATATATATCATTATTATATCATGATATATCATATAATGCATGGTATGTAAGTATGTATTTATATACAATTTATTTAATATAAATAACACTATCTTATATTATATCGTACATATTCCAAAAATTTTCCTTATGAAAAAAAATTCTTTACATTTACATATGATTATTTTGAATGGATATCATTTCTTTACATTATAACATTGTAAACATAACTAAAACTTGTACGCGTTCTTGTACAATTTTATATAGTTTTGCGTAGATTTATACAATCCCATGATACTTAATGTTATATTTTTTATATATTATAATTTAAAACACATTTTTGTTTTAAATTCAAAATTTAATATAGAATAATAAATAAATAAAAAAGTAAAATTAAAAATTGTATCAAAATGCATTTTGAAAATGTAAAAGGAAAATGATGCTGTTGAATTTTGCTATTGAATTTAATTTCTAAGTTTTATAAGGAATAGATGTACATGATATATCTGTATAAGAAATATACATATAGATATGTATATAATATGTTATAGTGTTATAATAGTGTATATAGTAGTATTATACTTTTGAGAAAGAAGAGAAACAAATGACAAGTAAAAATTAATTATTTGTTTTATGATTCCAGTGAGCATGACAGTGCTGATGTTCTACCTGTTCGGTAAACCGTACAAACGTGGATTCTTTTGCAATGACGAGTCGTTATATCACCCTTTCCACGACTCTACTGTAACTAGTGCGATGCTCTACGTTATTGGTCTTTTACTTCCTATATGCACGGTGAGTCATCTATAATTTCCAAAAAAAGCATCAAACGATATATATCTTGCCGACGCTATAATTATTTTTCGCGTTTTGCGTTTTGGACGATGTGTTCATTAAATAAGCGAGAAATACCGAGCGTATAAGAAATATTGAAAAGATAAATTTATGGCTTGAAAATAATTGATATTTAATGAATGAATAATATTAAAAATAATCCAATTTTAAGCTGAATTTAATTAAAAGTAATTAAATATTATTTTTATTATAATTTTTAATCTATTTTTTAAATTGAATATCAAATTCATTTTTTCAATATACATATATATGTTTTTTTCATATTTATGTACAAGGTAATTTGATATTTTGTAATGAAATAATGATTTTTTTTGCAAGGCTTTTTCATAATATTAATTTGTTAGTTCATTTTTTTTATTAATTTGTTTTTTATTTTATCGACAATATAAGAAAAAATTTTTTCAATAAATTTTTTTAAGAACATTAAATTCTTAAGTTCATTGATAAGTTTATTATCTATTTTTTTCAGATAATAAAAGTTATATTTAAAAAGTTGGGCAAACAAATATTTAACATTAACAATACAATTTAAAATATTTTAAGATAATTAAATTGTAAATTTTCAAAATTTTTTTAAAAATGAAAAATTATTGATACTTTGATGATTGATCTAAATCAAAATTAATTTTGATATAATTAATATATACAATATTTGCAATGAAAACTTATTCTTTTTAAATTTTATTTTAAATAAATTTTAAACAAATATTTAT